ACTAGATATATCTAGTTTAATGAAAAGAAGGACCACTTCAGACATGATAGCAGTGTTCCAATATCTCAGGGGCTGCCACAAAGAGGAAGGAGCCGCCAAAGCACCTGAAAGCAACAGTGGTGGAAACTAATCAAAGAGAGAAGCAATTTAGAACTAAGGAGAAATTTCCTGACAGTTAGAACAATTAAGCAGTGGAACAACTTGCCTCCAGAAGTTGTGAATACTCCAATACTGGGCGTTTTTTAGAAGATATTGGATAATCATTTGTCTGAAGTGGTGTATGGTTTTCTGTGTAAGCAGGGGGTCAGACTCAAAGACCTCCAAGATCCCTTCCAACTCTGTTATTCTATTCTATTTCTTTTCTCTCTCTCAAATTTGGAGGTGATTCTCTTCCCATTTAATGGAAACAAAGCTTTCAATCTCTTCCCATCAAAGAATATAGACTTTTGGGTAGAATGCAAAGTAATCTCGACATACAACAATTCATTTAGTGATTTAAAGTTTGAAGTTACAATAGCACCGAAAAAGATTACTTATGACTGTTTTCCACACTTATAACCATTGCAGCATCTCCATGGTCACATGGTCACAATTCAGGTGATTGGCAACTGACTGATGTTTATGACAGTTGTGGGGTCCTGGATCATGCCATCCCCTTTTGGGACCTTCTGACAAGCAAAGTCAATGGAGAAGCCAGCTTCACTTAACAACCATGTTACTAACTTAACAACTGCAGGGATTCACCTAACAAATGGGGCAAGAAAAATCATAAAATGTGGCAAAACCCACTTAACAAATTTCTCAGCAACATCAATTGTGGGCTCAGTTGTGGCCGTAAGTTGAGGACTTCTTGTGTCTTGATCCTTGTTGTGGCCTGCCAGTGGCCAGAGGAGCTGGCAGCAGAGTCAGACAGTGAGGAGGTTGGGGAGGAACATGGGCCAGTCCTGGTGGCTGAGGAAAGCTCAGGCGAGGGTTCTGTGTCAGAGGCAGAGAGGGAGCTAGACAGCAGTGAGGCAGTGGAATAGCTGGAACCTGTTCCCAGTGTGCGCATGCGCAGAACTGCCAGGAGACAAGAACAACTCAGAAATCACCGTAGACTTGGGAGTAAAGTCACAGGTGGAAGGTGATTGGCCCCTCCCATAGGAAACAAAAGAGCAGCAACAGGGAAGTGGGCTTTTGCAGGAAACAATTTGTTCATTCATTTGGTCCTTAGATTCGTTTCAGGAGTGTGAAGATCCATCTGTGGAACTCAGAGACTCTGTGCCCAGGCTTTCCTTGCACAGCATCTCATTTGGAAAATATTTACATGGCAGCTTTCCAAGCTAGATAAGGTCTGTGTCCATAGCTTCACCTTTGAAAGACTGTTTGCCAGGCCTTTGCTGAATGTGAATGAGAGGAATTCACATTTGTTTAATAAAAGAGATTTTGCCAGGACCAGGAATCTGCTTCGTGCTTTTTGGGGAAGCCTAGTCAGAACAGAAACATCAATTTTGGGCTTAGTTATGGCCATAAATTGAGGACTGCTTGTATCTTAATCCTGATCCTAATAGAATATCCTAAGCACTTTTTTCTCTTACAGAC